ACTCCTTTTTGGGAGGAGGGCTGAGAAATGTAGTCTCCAGATTTTGCTTCTATAAGACTCTGTTAGCAAGGAAAAAGAAACTGGATATTGAGTGAGGAAGTAGAAGCTTTTGCCCGAGGAGGAAAGAAAGTACGAGGATTTACAGATGTAGATACATTTTTTTATGCAAGAAAAGGAAATTGAATTGGTTAATGCTGAATAGCTTGGGGATTTCTGTGAATGTCTGCAGCAAGGTCATCACAGAGAAAGAGGGTTTCCACAGAGACCCCGAGAAGAACGGTGGACAATTTGCAGTCGTTTTAGGAGAAAATGAAGGGAACAGCAGCTGACCAGACTAGCATATAAAAGAATGTTGAGTAGTGCTAAGGGCTTAGCAGGAGTTGGAGATCATTAATTTCTCCTGGTATAAAACTGAAGAGCTGTGGGATTTTTCTGTTGCAGTGTTCAGCAAATAAGATACAGGAGCATGGTTAAATTCATTTCACGTTGTATGGGTGCTGGGTGTGGGGGTTGCATAAGCTAGAAAAACTTGAGGGAGGAAAACTTATTTTGGCAGAAAGCGCCAAAGAAGGGCTAGAGGAGGTGTGGGATTTTTATTAAGATCTCAAAATACAGGTAGGAGTCTGTTGGGAGAGGAAGGAATATTAAGCAGATGAATGACACAGGTGGTGGGAAGAGGTGGGAATGGACAATGCATGTTAGGAGACAGAGAGTCAAGCAATCTGGCTGAGTAGGAGGGCTACAGGAAGGCCATCATGGAAGGAGGGTGTGGACAGGGCACATAATAAAATTATGAAAGAAATAAGGCAAAATACAAATTCTTTAGCCTAAAATTCCAAGTCATATCCTCCAGGCAGTGGAGATCTGATGGAGGTTACTGTGCAGGAGACTCACATGGTGGCATTTTGTTCCAAGGATGGGAGGGAGATTGCCTGAAGGAAAGAAAACTGGTCTAGGAGGCTGGCTAAGGAGCCTGACATGCAGGAAACTATAAGAGAGGAAAGAAGAATAGAGTTAAAGGACAGAAAGTCACACTCTCCTCTGGGTTCCCAGCCCTGCTCACACTAAGAAATTCTTGCTCTCAATTGTGAATACTTGAATGGTGGTGTTCTCACTGCGGTGAGGTTTCTTTCTTCCTTTCTCTCTTTTTTCTTTTCTTTCTTTCTCTTCCTTCTTTCCTCCCACCCTCCCTTCTTTTCTTCCTTCCTTTTGTTTTCTTCTTTCTTTCCCTCCCTCCTTCCTTCCCTTTCTCCTTTCTTTCTTTCTTCTTTCTTTCTTTCTTCCTTCGTTTCTTTCTTTCTTTCTTTCTTTCTTTCTTTCTTTCTTTCTTTCTTTCTTTCTTTCTTTCTCTCTTTCTTTCTCTCTTTCTCTCTCTCTCTCTCTTTTGCTTCCTTTCTCAAATACTTGTGGAGTATTTACTGTGTACATACTGGATGGTGTACAAGGCACTGAAGATTCAGAGAAGGAAATCTGATTCTCATGGGGAAAGCACAAAAGAGAACCAAGTGGAATTTAACAGTTGACCAAATAGAAGTGTGTGTCAGGTTTTAGGGGTACACAGAGTAGGGGACACTATTCTATTGTGGCTGAGAAGGTATCAATGGAATCCAGTCTGGGAAAATCACAAGGAAATCATGCTGGGGGTGAGGGAGCAGGGAAAGGGGGGAAATAAAGGTGCAGGAAAGAGGGCTTCAGGAGCTAGTTGCTTGGGGAACCTGCATCACAGGGTTTGAGTGCAACAGCGAAGGGCCACGAAGTTGGAGAAGTTAACAAGGCCATATGAGTCCTGCTAAAGAATTTAGACTTTATTCCAAACACATTGGAGGGTCCTGAAAGATTTTACACAGAAGAATGACATTAGCTTCTTTTTAGAGTCATCAAAACTGAAAAGTTACAATCTCAGGGTTTGGAGACAAATTGAGACCAGGATGTTACTAATGGTGCAGTCACTTGATGGCTATGTGAGCTTGGGAAAGTTACTTAACCTCTCTAAGCCTCAGTTTCTTCTTTGAAATTGAGAAACAACCATCACCACTCCCACAGCAACAACAAAACTACCTTCCTCATAGGTATTATTATTTTTATTTTCTGAGAATTAAATGAATACCGTTTGTAAGATTCTCAGCACAGTGCCTGGCACATAGAGAGTCCTCTAAACCTGAGAGCTGCTCTTTCCTAGCACACATAGCACCTCCAGCATTATTACTGTTGTAAAAATTGCTCTGGGAGTTGTAAGCAAGGTGAGTCAGAGGTAGAGGACAAGCTGGAGGAAGGGACACTGCTTAGGATACCTTTGGAATAATCTAGTGAGGAATATTTTATTACTATTATTTTTATTTTTTGGTCCACTACTCAGCTGTCATTCAGGAGGAATAAAAAACAAAGTCTGTGGACTAAATGAAAAGGAAGACTGAGCAGAATTTGGCGATTGATTAGCTTAGAGAAACCAGGGGAAAGTAGAAGATGACTTCAGGGCTTTACGCTTGGGGAACTGCAGAGTTCTGGTTTTGTCTACACAAGGAAACCATTTCTCTCCCCACCCCGAGAGGCTCAGCTTTCTCAGACCATCGTTCACCTGACAGCTTTGGATGGTCAGCCGTTCTTTCCGTTTCATTCATTAGCTCAGCGACTGTGTGCGCAAGTCTGCCACTTTGTCTTCAAGAATGTCTTTTTCCCTGTCATAACCATAACGGAGGAATATTCTAATTTAAAAACTTCACATTTTCGAAGTCTCGAATGCCACTTACAAATTGGTTTTAAATACCTCTCTCTACTAGTTTCCAAATCTCATTTTATTTGTAGATCATGTGGGTGTGTCTGGAAAGGCTGTAGAATCCTATGCTTCTTTTTAAGGGCATTAATAGAATCCTGCACTTTTACAATTAATGTTGTGTTTGAAACCAAATATTCTTAGGGCTTCTCAATATTATGTAATTTCCATTTTATCTTCTTTTTTTTATATGTGGAGTAATATTTTAGGTCTCATATCACAGGTAAACAGACAACTAAAACTGGTTCAACTTTTGGCTCTTCTTTTCCTGCTAAAACAGTACTTCTACTTTGACTCTGAAGACAGAGAAACCTGGGAATGTGACATGAGATCTTGTTCTAAACAAGTGATCTGCCCACCATGAATGCTTGATTTTAGTACAAGGTTAGAGCAGATGGGGCTGAATGCATGGTTCCCTGTTGTTTTCCTTTTTCTTGAGTTTGATTATTCCCATTACTAAAAATGCCTTGCTATTTGGCAAATAACAGGAATTTTGAGATTGCTCCGGGGCTAGGTTAGCCAGGTTCAAGTCTCTGCCAACATTTAGAAAGATTGTTTTTTAGAATGAAACTTAAAAATAAATGTTTACTTATTTATTTTTGACAGAGAGAGAGAGAGAGAGAGAGAGAGAGAAACACAGAATCCAAAGCAGGCTCCAGGCTCTGAGCTGTCAGTCAGCACAAGCCTGCTGTGGGGCTCGAACCCACAAGTTGTGAGATCATGACCTGAACGCACGTCAGACGCTTATCCCATTAGGCCACCCAGGCACCCCTAGAGTGGACGTTTTTTAAATAAATGTCTTATATGAAAACAAGTGACACATCATAAATGAGTTGAGAGTGCTCTCTCCTAGTGAAAATGGCATGGTGTTGATCCACCCAAACTCTTTGTCCAGTTGTACTTGGGATCAAAGGCACACATGTGTAAGACAGTTTTCCCAGATAAGGAGAAGTAGAGCGAACCCCACTGCCTGTCAGGATGACTGTCCTGATCTCAATTTCACTAGCTCCTGAGGTCCTGCCAAAAAAATTAGTAAGAACTCGTGTAGGCCTGGAGGCCAACGTTGAACAGAAAGAGGCCCTGCAGCAGCACACATATGGCCCTTCTTCTCCTTCTGTCTCCTGGTCCCCTAGTGTGTGTGTGTGTGTGTGTGTGTGTGTGTGTGTGTGTGTATTTCAGAAATAGTACTTGAGAGATGGGAAATCAAATGTCTCTGTGGGAAAAAGCAGTGTTTCAGGTTCTCAGCATTTTAGTCAGCTGCTCTCATATTTTTCCAGACTGTAAATGTATTTTGAAGCTATTAAAATCTATTCATAGTGATGAAAAAAGGTAGGGACTCCATGGTTCTTTCCCAATTGCCATTTGTCCAGTAACAAATCTCTAAGCACTTTCATTAGCCTTTTTTATTTCCCCTATGGTGGCAAAATAATCCTCCTCATCTTTGTGGGGGAAACAAATCTGTGCTGGGAACATAACAAGAAAAAAATCTCCCTGTACTAGTCTGTTTGTCCAGGAGTATGGATTTTGGCAGCTGCTTTGAGTCTGGCTCCCTCGTGAGGTCGCTGGTCTCTCTTGGGTGTGGGAAGGGAGAGGTAGAGAGGCCAGGAATCTCTTTTAAATCACAGACAAAAGGAAACCAGGAAGTAAGGAGAGATTATTTCAGTCTGCTCATAGCTCAGGATGTTAAAGGCAGTAACCTCAGCTGGTTGGTTAACCATTAGCAAAAAGGAAAGAGCCTTGGAAGTCAGGACTGGCCAAACCACAGAGACGTACTTAAAGCAGGGAGAGAGCTCCTGGAAGAGGCAAGATGTGATCTTACCTGGTCTTAACCTCTTTCTCGTATTAACTTTTCCTTGGGACATAAAGCAAGATGACTCTTTTCTGTTCCCAGACGTTTGTCTAAATAAAGCCCTTTTAATTTTATTTTTGCTGTGGGATTCCTAAGCAGTCCAGAAGAAAAGGCATCTTGCCTGAGCAGCTGCCCAGCTCCTGCTCAGTTTTGCTCTAGGGCAGCCACTCAGGCCACAAAAGCAAGCAGGTGAGTGTCCCCAAGCGGGGCTCGCCGCAGGCACATCTGCCCCATTGTTGTGAAACAGGGCTTTGCACACTGTCCGAAGCCGGGGGAATTGGTGCTGACTTCCAAGCTGCCTGGTGGAAGAAGAGAAATTGGATCTGCAGAGACTGAAAGGAGAGGGAGAAGCCCCTCTCCCCTCCTCCCTACCAGGGCACCATGGGCAACGTTTGTCTGAGGTTCATGGCATACTTGAAACCCTGTCTCCCATGCCTGTTCAAGGAGGCCGACAAGGACAAGCCGGTGGTGATTGAGAACCCAGTGGCCCGCTGCTCCCCTGAGGCTTGCAGGTCACAGAACCAGGAGCTCGAGAGAAGCCGCGGTCACTACTTTGTGGCTCTGTTTGATTACCAGGCTCGGACCGCAGAGGACCTGAGCTTCCGCGCTGGCGACAAGCTCCAAGTCCTGGACACTTCCCAGGAGGGCTGGTGGTTCGCCAGGCACTTGGAGAAAAGGGGAGATAGCTCTGGCCAACTGCTGCAGGGCTATATTCCGTCTAACTATGTGGCCGAGGACAGGAGCCTGCAGGCAGAGCCGTGAGTAGTACAAACCCACACTTTATTTCTCAACTCTCTAAGGGCGGGTAATGAATTTTCCTTCTTATCTGCAACCTCCTAATCTCCAAAGAGCTGCCCTGAAAGTATGAGGAAGTACTGGCAAAAACCTTTTAATTGAAACACACCTCAGCTGTTAAGAGTGAAACCGGCAGGTAATTGTTGAAATGACTTCTATTTCCATACGTAACCCATGGGCCCTGGGTGTTCATCCACATAAACAAATTGTGCATCTAATACTCTACCTTTCCCTTGGCTGTAAAATATGCCTCACTTTAATAAGAGGACTGCATTTCATTTGCAGGTATATCATAGATATAAATCACACCTTCAAATCTAAAGTCCAGCTCTCTCTCTTTTAAAACTTTTGAAGCATCAACCCCCAACCCTAACTCTAATTTTAGTTCCTTTTCATTCTGTTAGATGCACACAGAGCCAACCAACATACAGGGTAACATTTAGAAGATGCAAATTTTTCATTACATTTTCCCAGTGAATCATGACTAGACAGTTTTCTTTGAGTTGTGTGTGTGTGTGTGTGTGTGTGTTTATATATATATATGTATATATATATATATACACAATGGCAGTATTTCCCCAGAGGAGGAGATAAAGACTCCCCTGATACCTGGAAAAAATCCTATGAATTACGGGGACCCACAGAGGAAAATTTTATATACACCCATCCATCCATCCATCTATGCCAGTGCCAGGCACAGTAGAGGCCTGGTAAGTGGAGGAGAGGGTAGGTTATGCTAGTGGTGGTTTAACATAAAGTAGATAAAGCACAGTCTTGACAATGGATACTTGAAATTTGGTGGTTTGAGAAGCAAGTGGGGACTGTTACTGGCCCTAACTTAGTTACTGCCTGGTTCCAGTGAAACCCAGGACTGGGAATGTCTCCCAGGACTTCTTTTATGGAATTTATCTTAGTAGAGGAACCACTGAGGATTTACTTATTTTCTTATATGTTTTTATTTTTTATGAGAACTGCAACATCTTTTATTGGCCTAAGGAATAAAGTGGCAAGGAAGTGCCATTGAGGCAGTATTGCTGCATTCCAAACTCAAATACAAATACAGAAGGAGGTTTGGTAATTTTTGAGATTCTTTCCAACACTAGGAACCTATATGTGTTAAAAAGGGGTCTTATTTTATGCCTGAATAGAAATGAACTGAAATCTACACTTTCAATGAGTGAAATTGATCAATTCTCAAATGAGAAAATCATCTGTTTGAACTCTTATTTTCTGTGCTAATCTATAGGAAGTGTATTTATTCACCAAATGCTTACTTATGTGCATTTATGTTTCCACTACTGTATGATTTATGGATATGGTATGGTAACATATGACATTTAAATGTATGTATGTTTTAAATTCAGCACAACATATGCATACTAGACAAATAAATACTAGAATATTAATACTAGAGTCTTGAACTCATAATCTAATGCTTTTATCATTCTATTTATTAATTTTTTCTTCATGATAAGTGTACTCTTTAATCCCAATCTCCTATTGCCCCTGTCTCCCATCCACCTCCCCTCTGGTGACCACCGGTTTGTTCTCTATAGTTACATGTTTGCTTCTTGGTTTCTCTCTCTCTCTTTTTTCTTTGCTTGTCTCTTTTGTTTCTTAAATCTCACATATGAATGAGATCATATGGTATTTGTCTTTCTCTGACTGATTGCACTTACATTATGCTCTCTAGCTCTATCCATGCAGAAATGGCAAAATTTCATTCTTTTTTATGGGTAAATAACATTTCATTATATAGATGTGTGTGTGTGTATATAGATAGATACATATATATATATATAGATATATAACATCTTTATCCATTTGTTTATTGATGGATACTTGGGCTGCTTCCATAGTTTGACTGTTATAAATAATGCTGCTATAAATAAAGGGGTGCATGTATCCCTTTGAATTAGTATTTTTGTACTTTTTGGGTAGTACATAGTAGTATGATTACTAGATTGTAGGATAGTATTATTTTTAGTTATTTGAGGAAGCTCCATACTGTTTTCCACAGTGGTTTCACCTGTTTGCATTTCCACCAACACTGCAAGAGGGTTCCTTTTTCTCTATAACCAGGCCAACACTTGTTTCTCGTGTTTTTGGTTTTAACCATTCTAATAGGTGCGAGGTGATATTTAATTGTAGCTTTGATTTGCAGTTCCCTGATGATGAATGATGTTGAGCATCTTATCATGTGTCTGTGAGCCATCTGTATGTCTTCTTTGGAGAAATGTCTATTCATGTTTTCTGCCCATTTTTAATTGAATGATTTTTTGGGGGGGATACTGGGCTATATCAATATTAGACTAGTTTAATGTGATACATATTAGTATTCATCTGTTTGTGTCTTTATTCTTGACTTGTCATAGTAAGAAAACCATGCTAATGCTTCTGGAGTTATTAGTGTCAAGGCAAACCAGTTCAAGGTTTTAGCATTTGATTTTTTTTTAAATACTAAGAAGTAAAGAGGTTAAAAAAAGAACTATAGTATTGTTAAAAGAGAAATCAATTTAATACTTGATTGTTATTCAACCTTGAAATGCTTTACCTTTCCTGAATATCTTGCATTAAATGATATAATAAGCCTGTTCTTAATGACTTATTTTGTCTCTAGGAAGAATCATTGTATTTATCTCACTTCAATTTGAATTCCTAGATTCTTTCATAGATGAGTGTTTTTCTTCAACATTTCAACATGAAATTTCTCAAAACTCTTGCTCTGAGAGTCTAATTACTCAGGACTCCCTTTATGTTTTTGATTCACAGTGTTTTTGGAGATATAAAGTTTACCCAGAAAATAATGGTATGAATATTATACGTAAATCTTCGAGCCAAGAACAATGGCTTTAAGTTCCATGATTTTATTGTAAAAAAGTTTAACTAATGCAATATAGTGATGAAAAGCAAAATAATCAGCAATTATATAATTTAGACATAGCATCATTTATCTACAGGGGGTTTAAAAAGTTGTTTGTCTAATTGTTAAGTGTGTATAAAAGTGTGTGAAAGTATTGAGTGAAAAGCTTCTTCTTTTCTTATTGCCATGTAAAGGCAGATTATTTCCAGTCCCTCTCCTATTCATCATATTATGAGCTGCTTTGAAAAAAAATTGTAATTTGTGATTTTGTTGGTAGTTTATGCTATGAAATAAAAGTGTTAGAATTTTCTGAAGTATAAAGGTAAGAGAACTTCTCTCCATCCATTTAGGACATATTTTCTTTAAAACATTTTTTTAATGTTTTTTATTATTTCTGAGAGAGAGAGAGAGACAGCATGAACAGGGGTGGGTCAGAGAGACAGAGGGAGACACAGAATCCGAAACAGGCTCCAGGCTCTGAGCTGGCTGTCAGCACAGAGCCCGACGCAGGGCTTGAACCCACGAACCATGAGATTATGACTTGAGCCCAAGTTGGACACTTAACCGACTGAGCCACCCAAGTGCCCCTAGGACATATTTTCTTAATTGTGCTCCTCTTTAATATGTCAAACTAGAATTTTGTCAAAATTTTATCTAACTTAAGGTCATTGCCATTCTTTGACTTGAAGAAAGTACTGAGAAAATGGTATATTCTTAGAAAGAGAGTTCTTTTACCTCACCATTTAAAAATAGAATTGGAGCTTCACTGTTTGGTTATTTGAATACTGCTGAATTTAATAACTATCCAATACAAGTTGTACATAGTGTTCCTAGTTATTTTCAAACTAGATGCCAGTAGACTTCTTTCTCAGCTGAGAAATGAAGCCACCTTTTGATCTTCTTAGTTAAAGGTAGAGTAACAATGTGATTTAAAAATTAAAATTATTATCAATCAGTCAATAAAGGCATCAGAATATATAGATTTTGAGTATAATTGGCATACAATGTAATGTTAGTTATATGACAAGTGATCGGATAAGTTGATATATTACTTCTGTTGACCACAAGTGTAGCTACCATCTATCCCCATATATCCTTATTATAATATCATTGACTATATTTTTTATGGTGTGTCTTTTATCCCTGTGATTTATTCATTCTATAACCAGAAGCCTATATCTTCCACTCCCCTGCACCCAGTTTTCCCATCACTCTCCTCCTCCCCTCTGACAGCCATCAGTGTGTTTTCTGTATTTATAGCTCTGATTCTGTTTCTTGTTTATTCATTTGTTTTTTATTTTATTTTGTTTAGATTTCACTTATGAGTGAAATCATGGAGTATATTTCTGTCTTAGTTTGACTTATTTCATTTAGCATAATACCCCCTAGATCCATCCATGTTGTCTCAGAGAGCACAATGTCATCTTTTTTATGACTACATAATATTTCATTGTATATATACAGCACATCATCCTTCTCTATTCATCTATTGATGGACACTTAGGTTGCTTCCCTATCTTGGTTATTATAAATAATACTGCAATGAACACAGGTGTGCATATCTTTTCAAATTAGTGTTTTCATTTTCTTTGTGTAAATACCCATTAGTGGAATTTTTTGATCATACAATATTTCTATTTTAATTTTTTGAGGAACTTCCATACTATTTTCCACAGTGGCTGTACCAAAGGCATTATAATATTCACAAACCAATCCGACATACCTGTTTTGGTAGTTTAAATCACTAGAAAAATCACCGATGGGCAATTCATTCTATAATTGTTCTTTTTACAGATCTTTTCTTTCTTTCCCTTTGGAATAGTTTTTAGGGAAGACTAAATGGATGTATGTAGAAAATGAAAATTATTCATTTTCAGTTTCTCCCTGCTAAGACAAAATATACTTAGATACCATCCTTTTATAAGCTAAGTAAAAAAGAGGTTTCCATATAAAAGTAAAATGTATTATAGGGATACATATAGCTGTTTATCAAAGTAAATGTTTTAGATAAATCCAACATAAGAATTTTAGGACAAATAATTTAAGTTAATTAGAAAAATGTATTACTAAGTGACTGTATTACCTATAGAATTATGATGT